GAGGCCCCAGAGAGCTCCAAGATGGTGCCCCAACGGGGTGTTGGGCACTTTCTCGGGGGAGGCGGCTCCCAGCCTGCCCCCGGCACCTCCCGGGAGCCTGCAGGACGCTCCCAATTGGGCGCTGCGTAATGGGGGATCATAGATGGGGGGGTGGCGAGTGTGGTCCAAAAAAGGTACCCAAACGGTACCTAAACGAGCCCCCCGGGGCTCTGGAGGGGCCCGAAAGGGGCACGAAAGGGGACCTTTTCTGACCCCCCCATTGGTGACCCCCCCATGAAGCCACGCCCAACCCAAGAGGCCCCCAGAGGCTCCCGAGAGACTTCGAACGCGCGACGCTGAGAGACCCCCCAAGAGGCCCCCCAGGATGCCTCCTGAATGCTGCCACGAGCCTTCCAGGAGGCCTCCCAACAGGCCCCAAAAGCGTATGGGAGGTCTAGCGTCACAGTCGGGGCCCTGAAGAAGGAACCCTTTTCGTTGGGGAGGGGCTCCGTGTTCCTTGATTGCTTCACAGTTTGCCTTGGGTTTTGCTTTGGTTTTCGATGGGAAGTCGAAGTCCAGCTTGTGGATCTAAGGGGCCTCGTTCCTTATTTAGGGTTCCTTGGGTCAACGCTCCCACTGTAACTCGGGCCTGTCCCTCTACAGGGGGAATATTCAAAAATAGTCAAAACATCATCAGGGGACGATGTTTGGATTATTTTTTTTACCATGTGGGGGCATTTTCTTTGTATTCTCAATTTTCCGTCCAGAATCAGCCTGTAGGGGGACATGCCCGACCTGCACAGCGTGCCCAGAGAGGCTTCAAGAGGGAGGCCCCCAATTCACGATCCATCTCGGGGCTTCAAGAGCCCCTCAGAAGCACGCCGCGAGGCTCCGAAAGGCGACCCATACCCTTGCTCACGATCCAGGTCGTGGGTGTGCCGCCATGGGCAGGCCGCCTTCGACGAGGCTTCCTGGCGATTGCGTGTAATACCCGCCCTTGGGTCATCCACCTCTTCTGTCGCCGCCGATGTTGACGCAGCCACATTGCCGCGAAGCGGCTGGCATAGGACGGAAAGTGTCAGAAGCGTGAGTTGGTCTTCAACGTCACCCGTTGACGTCAGACGATGTTTTATGTTTTCAGCCAGTGGGTCCCAGAGGTCTCGATCCTTTCCCGCGGGAGGGAGGAAGGAGGAGGGAGGAAGAGGAAGGAGGAGGAGGAGGAGGAGGAGGAAGAGGAGGAGGAGGAGGAGGAGGCAGGGGGATGATGATGAGGATTGAGGATGGAGGAGGAGGAGGGGAGGAGGAGGAGGAGTGAGGAGGTGAAGGAGGAGGTGGGGGAGGGGGAGGAGGAGGGGAGGAGGAGGAGAGAGAGGAGGAGGAGGAGGAAGAGGAGGAGAGGAGGAGGAGGTGGAATGAGGAGGAGGTGGAGGAGGAGGAGGAGGAGGATGAGGAGGAGGAGGAGGTAGGAGGAGAAGAGGAGGAGGGAGGAGGGGGGATGGAGGTGGAGGAGGAGGAGGAGGAGGAGGAGGAGGAGGAGGAGAATAATAATAATACTAATAATAATAATAATGATGATTAATAATAACTACTAATAATTAATATTAATAATCATGATAATCATACTAACTTAGAATTATAATCATACTAACACTAATAATACTAATATATTATTAGTAATATTAATTAGTTAATATTAATATTTAATAATAATTAAATTATTATTATTATTAATAATAACAGTAATAATAAAAACATAATACCAAACAAGGAGAAATAATATGAGCGAGAAGTGGAGGAGGAAGAGGAGGGAGGAAGGAGGCTGAGGAGGTGAGGAGGAGGGAGGAGGAGGAGGAGGAGGAGGAGGAGGAGGGAGGAGTAGGTAAGAGGAGGTGGAGGAGGAGAAGAAGGAAGGTAGGAGGAGGGAGGGGGGGGAAGGAGGAGAAGAGGAGGAGGAGGAAGAGGAGGAGGAGGAAGGGGAGGTGGAGGAGGAGGAGGGAGGAGAGGGGAGGGGAGGAGGAGGAGGAGGTGGAGTGAGAGGGGAGGAAGAGGTAGGAGGAGGGAGGAGGTGGAGGAGGGCGCAGAGGAGGAGGAGGAGGAGGAGGAGGAGGAGGAGGAGGAGAGGAGGAGGTGGAGGAGGAGGAGGAGGAGGGGGGGAGGAAACGGAGGAGGAGGAGGAGGAGGACGAGGAGGAGGAGGAGGAGGAGGAGGAGGAGGAGCTCACACGATGGAGCTCGATGTCATCCTCGGCGCTGCACCGGCGGCGGCGGCGGCGCAGCCTACTGACCAGCGGAGGGATGCGCACGTGCTGAATGAAGGAATGATGCAGGAGGAGGGGGGCTGTGCTGGAGGCCGAGGCGACGCAGCTGGCGGAGGCGCTGGGCAGCGACGGCGGCGGCGGCCCCAGGATGACGTGCCAGTCGCTGTGCCGGCTGGAGGCGGCGAGGCGGGGTGGGCGACCTCGGCGCCCACGTCGAGGAGTTTGGCCACGTGCGGCACCTGCCATGGAGAGTTGCCAGCCCGCACTCCCCCGGTGCGGCGCGGAGGCCCTGGAGCTTGGGTCCCCCACATCGGCTGCGTCGCAGGCCAGTGCGGCTTGCCCGGCGGCTTGAGTGGTTGGGCGCACCTTCCCATGGAGAAGCGTGCGGAGGCGCAGGCAGCGCCCGACGCAGCGGAGGCCGCGGGCATGCGGGCCGGGGCGCAGCCAGCCGGGGCGGCGGCGCTACTGGCGCGGCCTGCGGCGGCGCTGGTGCAGGCCGACGGCGCGGTGCCTTACGGAGAGCTCCAGCGCATGGAGTTTTGGGACGACGTCACTTGGGACAGTCTCCGCGACAAGTGCGGCACCAGCGCGGTTGTCCCGGAGGCACTCCGCTACGCCGTCCCGGACTTCCGGGAAGCGCTGTGCGACTCCATTCTGGCGGCTGGAGGCACGGGCGAGACTCGCGGCCGGACGGCGCTCCTGTTCTCGGACCGCCTCCTTTTCTCTGCGTCGCGGGAGCGGCGGGGAGGCACCAGGGGCCAGAAGGGGGAGACCGTGGCGCGCACACTTGCCAGGCGAATCCGGCTGATGTGGGAGGGGTCTTGGGACATCCTCTGGCAGGAGGCGGAGCTCCCGCTGCGCAGCGGCGCCGGCGCAGCGTTCACTGCAGCACAAGGATTGGCGAAGGACGTCAAGGCGATCGAGGAGGCCCTCGCTGACGAGGACGTGCGGGAAACGATGCGGGTACTGGGCGCTGGCCGCTCGCCCCTCACGAGAAGGCGCGTCGCTGCCTCCCTACGCTGTTTCCCAGAGCGGCGGCCCAAGCAGTGCAGCCTGCGATTGGTGATGTGGACAGTTTCCTTGTGCATCTGCGCCTGGCGTACCTTCGCGCTCCGAGGCACCGCGGAGCTTGGCCAGGGGGCACTCGGGCAGAGCACTGGGCGTGGATGCCGCGGCACGAGGAGGCGTGGGACAGCTTCGCCAAGGTGGTCCTGGACCTGCAGCTCGGCGAGGCCCCGCGCGAGGCAGTGCAGGCCTGGCTGGGCGCCCGTGTCCTGGCCGGGGACCGGGAGGAACGCGACCAGGTCTGGCCGTTCGCCGTTCGCCCTATAGGCATCTTCCACCGCCGCGCTGTTCCTGAGCGGTGAGCAGGGTGTTGCGTGGCAGGGTGGCGGCGGCCCTCGGCGACGGCGAGTACGCTGTGGGCAATGCGAGGGGAGCCGGAGCACATGCACGAAGCAGCCCGGCTTGACCTAGACAGCCGGCCAGGCTGCTGCGGAGCTTGGACGCCAGCAGCGCGCACAACGAGTACGACCGTGCAGCGGAAGCGCGGGCCGTCCAGACGATGGTCCCCGAGCTGCTGCCGCGGGCTCGCGCTGGCCTGAGCACGGCGGCTGCACATGTGCACGCGGCGCGGGATGGGATTTGCACGGAGCTCCCCAACGGGCAGGGGGGCGACCAAGGCGACGCGCTCACCAACCAGCTCTTCCCGCTCTGCTACAAGCTCGTGGCGGACGCGGTGGTGGCCGCGGTTTGGGCGCGACCGAGCCAGGGCGCAGTTACTGCTACCAAGACGACCTGGACGTGATCTGCGAGCCCGCGGCGGCGGCGCAGACAGAGGCAGCGTTCGCAGCTGCGCGCGCGCAGGTTAGCCTCCGTGGCAACCCGACCAAGACCTAGCTGAGCCCGGGGCGCCAGGTGGACGTGGCAGCGCTCCCTGCGCTCCCAGAGGTGGAGCCGCGGGCCCTCGTGCTTCGCCGCGGCGCCCTGCCCGCAGCGCCAGGGGTACCAGTTGCTCCAGCCGCGCTGCCGGGCTGCGGCAGCATGCTGGCTCTGGGCAGCCCAGGGGCGGCCCGCCCGGCGGCCTCCCGGGCCCGCGCGTACTCCGGAGTCCATTTGAAAGAGCTCCGGGCCGCTGGACTGGACGCGCAGCGGGCGCTTGCGCTGCTGCGAGCCCGGACGAGCTCCGACTCCTCGCGCGCACCCGCGGAATCCCGACGACGGAGGCCCGCGCCCTAGACGCAGCGCTCCTGGCGGAGGCGCAGCCCCTGCGCGGCCGGCAACTGGAGGGTCTGAGCGGGATGAAGCTCTGCCTCGGGGTGAAGGACGGCGGGCTGGGGCTGCAGAGCGTGGAGCTCACGGCCGCAGCGGCCCAGGCGGCGTCTCGGGCTGGGCAGAGCGGGCGCGCTAGCCAGCGTGAGCCCGCGGGGGCGGAAGTGTCTCCCGGAGGCGACGCGGGCCCTCGAGGGACGAGACCGCCCACGTGGGCGACGAGGGGCTCGCAGCCCCGCAGCGCACTCTGGTTCCCGCCCCACTTGCTGCGGCTGCGCGCATCGTTGCCGACGGGGCGAGCCACGACCCACTGGCAGCCGCCGCCCTGCGCAGTGCTGGCGGCCCCGGGGAGAGCACCTGGCTGGGCCCGCCCTCCCGGCCCGAGCACCGCCTCTCAGACGCGCAGTTCGGCGTCGCGCGGGGCGCGCGCCACGGCGAGGACCTGCCCTGCCGCGCGGGAGCGTGCCAGCGCAGGCATCCCGGCGGGAGCGCG